ATCACGAGAGAAACCCTAGATTTGAAACACTTAGGTTGCATGAACTCCCCGGTTGGCGTCACGAAAGTCAAGCGGGAATAGTCCAAGGACGAAATAACGACTCAATCCTATATTCGTTCTTTGAAGTCTTACAATTTCCTATGTGCTAAGGCTGTAACACCCTACGATGACAATCAGAGCTTAAATTGTTTAGCAGCTGGCTGATGAAATTAATAAGGGGCAGAAGTTCGCTCTGAAATCTGCACTCCGTTATGGCGGTACACCAGTTTTGATTTAGTTATGGTGCCACTGTTTAGGATAAGTGGGACGAGTTGCCTTACACGGAGCAAAGTTCCTGCTCAAGTAAGGATCAGACTGCGTGGGCCGGTCCATCGTCGGTTCTTCAAGGCAGGACTATCCGACGACGCAATTGCTCATCGGTAAATATATCATGGACTTCAGGTAACGCTTTCTTCAATCAAGTTTTCAGATTTTACAGATGAAGATCTATCGCTTCAAAACGATCATGTCACGAATTACCTAAACGTTTTCTTCCACCTATGATGCCCCATCGGGACGGTCTGCAAGCCGATAGATAATCTCCACACCTACTGAAACAACTTTGAAGAAAAACCGAACTTGCTTACTAGCGTAAAATGACCAACCGCGTCAAAAGCATGACTTCGGCAATTATAGCTGAATGAACAAGGCTAAACAGTTTATACATCGAAACTGTACTGGACAACCGTAGTTGCCGGAATGTCTGGAGGCTGTTGTAGCAAATATGTCGTAAAAGTACCATCGATTGTACTGAAACAGTGGACGTGGACAAACTCAATGCTGAGTTTGGTTCCTCTCATCTTCACTAGCTCAGGCCCAGCCGCCCTAATTGATCAAGGTGATGTCAATAGAAAATTCAAAATGCTAAATGTAAATAAAGCTAGTGGACCTGGTGGTTTATTACCTGTGGTTTAGAAGCAGTGCGCCGATTCCCCCACACTAATCCTGCTTAATATTTTCTACAAGTGTCCCCGAACGGTGCAACCCCTGACATCTGAACGTCAACCAGAATAACGCCAATTCATAAAAGGACTCCCAAAATTATCGGCCAATTGCTTGTACTCCAGTGCTCTGAAAAGTCTTCGTATAGCTACTAATTACATGCATTTCTACAGCTACTCGTGCTGAGGACGTCTACCATTTTGCGTTTTGGCGCCAGCGCTCTACGCTAGATGCTGGTTCGTACCTTATGCATTCAATATTTTCTGCGTTAGCTAAACTATGCACGTTCGTACGTCTTCTTCTTCGTGACTTTACAAATGCTTACGGGAGTCTTGGTCGATCAGTTCTATTTAACCTACTTCATTTGAACGCAGTCTACCCGGATAGTTGGAACTTGTTACGTGACTATTTTATTGATGGTGTGCACTTTACCCAGTTAAATGGCAAATTCTCCTTTATGCTCCGCTCTGACTGTGGTGTTTTGCAGGGCGCGATCCTCTCGCCCCTTTTATTCTCTTGATATGTCGAAAGTCTCCCCATACCATCAACATTCATTGGATATAAATTTGCTGACGATATTGTTTGGAGGTGCAGATTTTCCACCACTGAGACGTCTACGCTTCAGTGTGGTTTGGAAGAAGTTATGAGTTAGTCCTCAACCAGGTCCATTAACCTTAATGCTTTGAAATGTACTGACGTAACATTTTCATTTCTCCGCCCTGATAAATTGCGAGCAATTTAAGATGCCTCTCCTCTAATAACTTCGGAGGACAAAGCCATTCCCATTCGATCCATCGTCAATACCTCGGTGTCTATCGTTCACAAAACTTCTCTTGGTCCATGCAGGTTTTGAAGGTCTTTCACAAGGTCAGAAGGTTCTCTTTTTATGGTTTCCGACTTAAGTTCTCCTTACTGGGAAGTTTAATTTTGAGATTTATAACTGCATGTATACAATCTCACTGGTTGTACTGTTCCCCAGTAATCTTCCCTGGGCTACTGCAGAAGGATTATGTCCTGATTGTGCGAACGATTAAACATATTTCCATTTGTGGTGGCTTACCGGGAGATCCCATGGTTGATGTTATTTCTCTTAAGAATTTCGATGCATGCATTAATTTTTCTTCCAAAGTCCCAAGTGCCCGCTTTCATCTGCTACACTACGCTCTCTCTCTCACAAGCATTATCCGTCTCTCACACGTCCTTAGAATTTAGGCTTGTATTCTTCCGCACTTCTTTGCATCGTAACACAATCTTGCCTTATTTGTCACGCCTTCTTTTTGACCCTAAAAAATCCTATATGCTTTGCACACGCTGTTCCTTGAATGACATTTACATACGTTTATCCATTTAATTCTTCAAGATCTATTTATGTATTTTCAGCTGGCATCCTTCATTTATTGTATCCAGTGATTGTGTAATGGTAGACCATGTAGACATTTAAGTGCACAAAGTCTACTTTGACTTGACTTACACGGCCTACACGATCCGAGATATTCATAGAGCCACAAAATCGGTGATAGTGTTGGCAGCTCGTCGCAAAATTTGCTAGTCTTTTTGCCCACAATGTCGGCTGGGTGGAGTTGTCAACTCATCATTATGGGTCCAGCACGTTGATACCATGCCCATCTAGAGTTTACGTGGCTTGGAGTATGAATAACGGTGCGAGAAACTAGGACTCTACACCTTGTCATCCTTTCGGGTACGTTTTGACCTCATTATGACCTACCGTATTCTACAGCTCGGTGACTTCCTTATGCTAAAGCCAATGATGCACTTACGAGGGCCATGCAGCACACTCGGACACAGCTACAAACTTGTCGTGCCGGATATGAAGCCTGTTCCCTACCCACTGTGCTTCGAACGGAGAGTGGTAAGTCTTTGGAACAGTTTGCCTGAACATGTGGTAGAGGCAACATCTGCGCAACAGTTCACAACGTTGTTGGATTTATACTTTATCGCTAACCGATTCAGAGAACGACTGCACACGTACGATGAAACCGCACAATTGTGAGTCCTGCAATACCGTGAATCAGATACGGTAGATGTTACCTGAGAACGACAGCCATATTCATCTTGACCAAGTCATCGCTTGGCCACCTCGTTTTTTCTTCCAGCCACACCCCCGGCACGCAAACAACGCATTTCGCTGGAGTCCGTGTGTTGACGTGCACAACACGTGGCCCAGTCATTGGAACGGTCCTGAGCCGTCAACTGGCAACGGACCTCAACTTAATTTGAATAAGCTATTCTCAGGACGCCCTCAATGTGTGTGGCAATCGCTTTCGGTGAGGGGCAGTGCTCAGCTGATATATTGTCAACGGGAACAGCTCCAGAGATCTCTGGAACATACCGGAGGATTTGCGTTTGAAGTGCGAAATCGACGAAGTGGTGCCCTACGGTACACCTTTGATTTATACATTTCTAACCAACATCTCCTTTATGTAGATTGGAGGAACGTTCCATCGCAACTCCGGCGCAGTGCGACCAATGGAGCATCCAGCTGCGCGTTCAGCAAGACACCACTCGATTTAGTAGCAATAAGATGAGTGACCAAGTGCACAAAATGACAATTACACTTCAATCTCTCAGCCGATGCTCGCTACCTACGTCAACTCGCAAGGTAAGCTTAGCGGTTAACAGGTGCATCTCATCCCTCGTTTACCGTCTCTCTCACTTGAACGCGACCCCTTTGTATCCAACGCAGTCTCGAGAACCTCACACCCGATGTCAGTTGCTTCATTTCAGGGGCACACGCGCAGTTCACACGTGATTATCCTTCTTGGTGCCGACATCCAACGACACCGTTTCGCGGGGAGACAATTTACACGAATCGGCGAAGACAAACCAGCGAGAGTACTTAAGAGGTAATAAACACTGGTCTTAGTGGACACAAGCACAATGCGTTTATTTTATAAGCAGAAAAAAGCTAGCATTTATTATGGGGTTTCTGAGCACCCTTTCTTGCAAGAGCATGCGCTGCGTCGTTTCCAGCGTTGCCTGAATGCGCCTTCACCAGCTCCTGAAACAAAAATGAAAATGTTCAGGAGTAAAGACCGGGAAACAACACCGGTTACGGTGTCTGTCAGGTGCTAGATAGAAAGTTGAACTTTCTCACTGAAGCGTCGCTCTCCAAAGAGCGTATTGTTGAACAGCCACTGAGCACTGCGTCCGAAGGTGTCCAACACAGTTCGAAGCATCATCAATTGATGATGGGTGAAAACTGTGGCGCTGCCATTGTTAGGGTTAACTAGTACTCGGTAACTCGTCCTCGGTCGCAGTACGGCATCAGGCTGCATAAAACGTTGTATGATACTGAGTCACTCATATTAGAAAGAATCATTGGTATAGATCAGGTGCTCGAGCCGTTGTAAAAACAAGAACTCAAACAATTAGCCAGGTAACCCGTCCTGAACAGAGTGCACTGGGCAGGAACAATTCGCTTTGCTTCAATCGATCGAATCAAACGGGGACTCACCCACTTCACCTGCATTTGCTTCAAGCGGTCGTGCAGTCTACCAACCCAGTAGCGGAATATCTCCGTGTCGGAGGCCAACACTTTCCGCTTGCAAGTTGCGTGCCCGATGACTGCATCGGAATCCGTGACGATTGTGACTCTTAGGATACCAAAACTCGCTGCTTTTTCGATCGCGATCACTGCGGCCTGAAATTGGAGGGAGGATAAAATCAACAGTGCAACTAATACCACCTTGGCGACATAACAAGTGGCACAACAATCCGCCGACTCGTTAAACTACATGTACACTTATCTCGGCGAGGTGGCGGCAGTGTGAAGACCACATTCGGGGATTGTTTTTCGTGTTGCAGAATCCCATGCACAACAGCGTTTACGCTAAGTATACTACAGGATTCGAGCGTTGATGAATGCAGTCGGGATCGGGATACCCGGGAGATCTCAGGTCCCCAGCAGGGACTCCACCCCGAGCACCTGCAACTCCGTATGGCGCAAAACGCACTAGCTTTCCACGTATTACCTACGGTCACTCAGCAGCAGGGCGGGAATGTGTAACTCTTATCTGTGCGGGGGGGGTGCTCGCGCTGTCGCACCCTCTCCTCCGCGTTGTTTGTTGTTGATGGGGAGAGAGGATTACACACCAAGACTAGGGAGTTCTTCGCAGCCCCTGCTTGCTGAAGTGAAAATTTACGTGGATGCTTGCGTGTTGTCGGAAGACCGTGCTGGTGCTGGGGTGTACTGGGGACCTGAGAGCTCACGGTAACATCACGTATGCATTATCTAAATCGAATACTGTAGTAACTTAGCGAAACGATTGAAAGGGAGTCACACGAGTCTAACTGCCGAAATCGCAGTGAGTGTTTATTGTCGTTTAACGAGTCGGCAGATTGTTGTGCCACTTGTTATGTCGCCTACGTGGTATTAGTTGCACTGTTGATTTTATCCTCCCTCCAATTTCAGGCCGCAGTGATCGCGATCGAACAAGCAGCGAATTTTGGTATCCTAAGAGTCACAATCGTCACGGATTCCGACGCAGTCATCGGGCACGCAACTGGCAAGCGGGATGTGTCGGCCTCCGACACGAAGATATTCCGCTACTGGGTTGGTAGACTGCACGACTGCTTGAAGCAGAAGCAGGTGAAGTGGGTGAGTCCCCGTTTGATTCGATCGATTGAAGCAAAGTGAATTGTTCCTGCCCAGTGCACACTGCTCAGGACGGGTTACCTGGCTAATTGTTTGAGTTCTTGTTTTTACAACGGCTTGAGAACCTGGTCTATACCAATGATTCTTTCTAGGATGAATGACTCAGTATCATACAACGTTTTATGCAGCCTGAAGCCGTACTGCGACCGAGGACGAGTTACCGAGTACTAGTGCACCTTAACAATGGCGGCGCCACAGTTTTCACCCATCAGCAATTGATGATGCTTCGAACCATGTTGGACACCTTCGGACGCAGTGCTCAATGGCTGTTCAACAATACGCTCTTTAGATAGCGACGCTTCAGTGAGAAAGTTCAACTTTGTATATATCACTTGACGGACACCGTAACCAGTGTTGTTTCCCGGTCTTTAATCCTGACCATTTTCATTTTTGTTTCAGGAGCTGGTGAAGGCGCATTCGGGAAACCCTGGAAACGACGCAGCGCATGCTCTTGCAAGAGAGGGTGCTCAGAAACCCCATGATGAATGATAGCTTCTTTCTGCTTATAAAATAAACGTATTGTGCTTGTGTCCACTCTCGCTTGTTCGTCTTCGCCGATTCGTGTAAATTGTCTCCCCGCGAAACCGTGTCGTTGGATGTCGGCACCAAGAAGGATAGTCACGTGTGAATTGCGCGTGTGCCCCTGAAATGAAGCAACTGAGATAGGGTGTGAGAATGACGGAGTTGTGACGTTCGCGGGAATGTTGGATACATTGTGGGTGACGTTCCAGTGAGAGTGACGACAAACGGGGAATGAGGTGCATTCGTTAAGCGCTAAGTTTACCATGCGAGTTGACTTGGGTAGCGACCATGGGCTGAGAGATTGAAGTGTAATTGTCATGTGCTCTTGGTCATTCCTCTTATTGATACTGAATCGAGTGGTGTCTTGCTGAACGTGCAGCTGGATGCTCCATTGGTCGCACTGCGCCGGAGTTGCTATGGAACGTTCCTCCAATCTACACAAGGGAGATGTCGGTTAGAAATGGATAGATCAAAGGTGCATCTTAGGGCACCACTTCGTCAATTTCGCACTTCAAATGCAAATCCTCCGGTATGCTCCAGAGAACACTGGGGCTGTTTCCTTTGACAAAATATCAGCTGTGCACTGCCCATCACCGAAAGCGGTTGCCACAATCATTGAGGGCGTCCTGAGAATACCTTTTTCAAATCAAGTTGAGGTGCATTACCAGTTGACGGCTCAGGACCGTTATCTCACGCACCAGGTTTCGATGGCTGGGCCACGTGTTGTGCATTCCAGCCCACAGACTCCATCGAAGTGCGTTGTTTGCGCGCCTGGGGTGTGGCTGGAAGAAGAAACGAGTTGGCCAAGCGATGAGTTGGTCAAGATGAATATCCTTGTTCTCCTTTAACGTGTACCGTATATGATTCACGGTATTGTCGGACTCACGAATGTGCGATTTCATCGTACGTGTGCAGTCGTGCTCTGAATCGAATAGTGATAAAGTATAAATCCAACAAGGTTGTGAACTGTTGCACAGATGCTGCCTCTAGCACATGTTCAGGCAACCTGTTCCAAATATTTACCACTTTCCGTTCGAAGCATAGTGGGTGGGGAACAGGCTTTATATCCGGGCACGACAAGTTTGTGGCTGTGTCCGCGTCTGTTGCGTGATCCTCGTAAGTGCAGCACTGGCCTCGGCATGGGGAAGTCACCGAGCTGTAGAATACGGTGGGTCATAATGAAGCCAACTCGAACCCGAAATTATGACAAGGTGTAGAGTCCTAGTTTCTCGTACAGTTCTTCATACCCCAAGCCACGTAAACTCAGGATGCGTCTGGTATCAACGTGTTGGTCCCATAATTATGAGTTGACGACTTGACAACTCCATCCAGCCGACATTGTGCGCAAAAAGGCTAGCAAATTTTGCGACGATCCGCCAACACTATCGCTGATTTTGTGGCTCTACGACGATCACGGATCGTGTAGGGCATGTAAGTCAAGTCGAAATAGACTGTATACACCTAAATGTCTGCATGGTCTGCAGTTACGCAATCACTGTGGATACAAGGGATGAAGCAGGCCAGCTGAAAATACATAACTAGACCTTGCGTAATTAAATAGACAAACGCATGTACATGTCATTCAAGGTGCCGCATGTACAAAGCATTTAGGATTTCATTAGGGTCGAAAAGAAGGCGTGACAAATAAGGCAAGTTTGTGTTACGATACAAAGAAGTGCAAGAGAATATAATGCTAAATTCTAAGTACGTATGAGAGAGAGAGCGTTGTGTAGCAGATGAAAGCTGGCACTTAGAATATTAGAAGAATAGTTCATGCCAGCGTCGAAATTCCTACGAGCAATAATACCAACCATGGAATCGCCCAGTAAACCACCACAAATGGAAATATGTTCAATCGTTCGCACAATCAGGACATAGTCCTTCTGCAGTAGACCAAGGAAGGGTACTGGGGAGCAGTACAACCAGTGAGATAGTATACATGCAGTTACAAATCTTAAAACTATGCTTCCCAGTAGGGAGAATTTCTTATGTCGGAAAGCAAATAAGCTAATCTTCTGCCTTTGTGTAAGATCTCCAAAATCTGCATGGACCAAGTGAGGTTTTGTGAAAGACAGAGACCGACGTATTGATAGTGGATCGAATGGGAATGGTTTCGTTCTTCAAACTTAATAGAGGAGCGGCATCTAAAATTGCTCTCAATTTATCAGGGTGGAGAAATGAAAATGTTACATCAGTGCATTTCAAAGCATTAAGGTTAAGGGACCTAGTTGAGGACCAACTCATAACTTCATTTAAACAAAACTGAAGCGTAGACTTCTCAGTGATGGAAAATCTGCACCTCAAAACAATATCGTCAGCATATTTACATCCAATGACGGTTGGTGGTATAGGGAGACTTTCGACATATCAAGAGAATAAAAGGGGCGAGAGGATCGCGCCCTGCAAAACACCGCAGTCAGCGCGGAGCATAAAGGAGATTTTGCCATTTAACTGGATAAAGTGCACACAATCAGTGAAATAGTCACCCAACAAGTTCCAAATATCCGAGTAGACTCCGTTCAAATAAAGTAGGCTAAATAGAACTGATCGATCAAGACTCCCGAACGCATTTGTAAAGTCAAGAAATAGAAACCGTATGAACCTGCATATTTTAGCTAACGCAGTAGCTACTGAATGCATAAGGTACGAACCAGCATCTAGCGTAGAGCGCTGGGGCCGAAACGCAATGTGGTAGACATCCTCAGCACGAGTAGCTGTAGAAATCCTTGGAATTCGTAGCTATACGAGGACTTTTCAGAGAACGGGAGTACAAGCAATTGGCCCATACCGTTGGGATTCCTTTTATGAACTGGTGTTATTCTGGCTGACGTCCAGATGTCGGAGATTGCACCGGTCGTGAGACACTTGTAGAAAATATCAATCAAGATTAGTGTGGAGGAATCGGCGCACTGCTTCTAAACCACAGGTAATAAACCACCAGGGCCACTAGCTGTATTCTCATTTAGCACCTAGAATTCTCTGTTGACGTCACCTTGATCAAATAGGGCGGCTGGGCCTGAGCTAGTGAAGATGAGAGGAACTAAACTCAGCATTGAGTTTGTCCACGTCCACTGTTCCACTCCAATCGATGGTCCGTTTACCACATATTTGATATAACAGCCTCCAGACCTCACGGCAACTACGGTTGTCCAGTATAGTTTCGATATATAAACTGTTTAGCCTTGTTCTTTCAGCTATAATTGCCGGTCATGGTTTTGACGCGGTTACTCATTTTACGTACGCCACCATGTTCGCTTTTTCTTCACAGTTGTTTCAGCAGGTGTGGAGATTTTCTATCCGCTCGCAGACCGTCCAGATAGGGCATCATAGGTGGAAGCAAACGTTTAGTTAATGCGTGATATGATCGTATTGAAGCGATAGATCTTCATCTGTAAAATCTGAAAACGGTTGAAGAAAGCGTTGCCTGAAGTCCAGGATATATTTAGCGATGAGCGATTGCGTCGTCGGATAGTTCAGCCTTAAAGAACCGACAATGGACCAGCCCACGCAGTCTGATCCTTTCTTGAGCAGGAACTTTGCTCCGTGTAAGGCAACTCGTCCCACTTATCCTAAACAGTGGCACCATAACTAAATCAAAACTGGTGTACCGCCATAACGGAGTGCAGATTTCAGAGCGAACTGCAGCCCCTTATTAATTTCATCAGCGAGATGCTAAAGAATTTAAGCTCTGATTGTCATCGTAGTGTGTTTACAGCCTTAGCACATAGGAAACTGTAAGACTTCAAAGAACGAATATAGGATTGAGTCGTTTTTTCATCCTTGGACTATTCCCGCTTGACTTTCGTGACGCCAGCCAGGGATTTCATGCAACCTAGGTGTTTCAAATCTAGGGTTTCTCTCGTGATACGTTAGCAGGGCGCACAAGCACCAACAGGGAGACCTAACCGATCCGATTAATCGCAAGCAGTGATGCGAAACTATCTTCCCCTCCCCATTACCAAGTCAGTATGAAACTTGTACCCTGGCGTAGCCTCATTCAAATTGTCCGATATCCCGAAAACGTCTGGTGGAAGAGAGCACGCAAACAAATTTTAACCCCACAATGACTCATGATACCTTGGTTACAGGTTGCAGTGGAGTTTCCAAAGTGCAACTCTACGGATGTACAGACTGAGACTAACTGTGCACAAAATCTTCGAAGTCCGTTGAGACGTTCTTCCCCTTGGGCACTATGCGGGGAGAGGCAGATCACTTTGCCTGTAGCTGCATCGTAGGCCATGTGAGTTGCCCGAGCGCAGGGTGCCACTCCGCCAGCTATGACACCCGAGACCCAGTAGAGAAAGAAAGAACATCGCAGCAACTGATCCGAGCTTTCAGTCACTGTGACACCGTTGATACGGTGAGTAAACGGGAAAGGCAGACTACAGAAACATGTAATTCAACATTGACCCTTCAGTTAAACGTGCACCGTTGTGACGAGCATCGCCCGCTCTGACCCGGTAGCCAAAGGGGTGAAGTTTTCAGCTACCATTCCAATGGTCGCGGGTTCGAGATCTGTTATCTCCACCTGAGTATATGAAATATTATTGAAACGCGTCGTGGTTGTGCAGTGTTTTCGGACAGGCAACACACAATTATCATCTACTCCAGACTACAGAAACGTCTACGATCACGTGTGAACTATCAAAGGCTAGTAGCCTAGACTGCCTCAAGATAAGAGTTCCGTTTATGTAGGCGATGGTTTTTCTGGCAGAAGCCTGCAAGAACTCAACTTGTTGTAAAATATTAACTGAGGCGGAGTACCTTAGACCAAGGTTTGGGACTACGTTACACACACATAAATATGAGTGTTATTTAAGGTTGGGATGTTCGGTGGAGTGTCACAGCCGTAGTCCAAGAGATTACGCTTGTCAGTGGCGAAGTACAACATCCAGGAGTTACACCAGTGCTCTAATGCTGACACCTCAGACTGAATGCAGGCTAAACTAGGACTACCTCGTCTAGGG